AATACCGCTCCGCTGCGCGGTTTTCACTGCGGTACACCCCGCCGCTGTCCAGTTGAGGGCAGCCCAGTGGGAAGCCTGGGTTGCAGTGCGCCTTTAATTAGTCCAAAATCCACCATCACAACATGCCTGACAAGATTCCCCCTTCAAGTACCCCTTTGACTAAATTTCTCAACAACAAATTGACTCAACAACTCGTCCCAACTTACTTAATTCTGGCTCAAGATTCATCTGATCAAGAAATACAAGTCACCATTAATCAAAACATTCAACTTTTTACCAAACATCATTTGGATGTAATCAATTTAATTCATAAACTTGGTCCACCATCAACATCAGAAATTGATTCAGATAGGCTTATTTCAATCTTGTTTTGTATCATTGAATAGAACTTGTTTCTATCAATCTTTCGAATGTAATCGATGTAATCTTTGAACTCAGTCCACAATTAAGATCAGGAATTGATTCAAAGAGATATTGATCTTGTTGAAGATTCAAATGCTTATTTCCAGTTTCTTTGTATCATCGAATAGAACTCGGTCCAATCAATGTTTTGAATGTAATTGATTCAATTCTTGAACTTGGTCTACAATGAAGATCAGAATTCGATTCAAATAGAAATTGAATCGATCTTGTTGAAGATCCAAGAGTTTGTTTCAATCTTTTTGTATATCATTGAATAAAACATTTTCCTATCAATCTTCAACAAAAGCCAATCTAATTTGGATTATGAAGGATTAGACATCAATCTCATTCAAAATTGAGGATGTTCTTCCAAAACCTTTTCCTATCAATGTGTTTCTATCAATTTACTCATACACAACTTAAGAAATTGTAATTCAATATCCCCAATCATCCTTTCCAGGCCGTGTGGTTCAAGAGGACAGAGGTGTGGAAATCTGAATTAATTTTTGTTCTTGTTGGGTTATCTGAGGCTTGTTTTGCCTGCTGAAAGGGGGACTGCGGCATGCTGAGCCCTATTTGAGCGCGCCACTGTCTCAGGGCAATTTTTTTGCACTGCGGTAGCGCTGTGGTGAGGCTACGTAGCCACTGTGATAAATCCCAGCGCTGTCTCAGTTGACCAAAAATGCGGCGCGCTGCGGCGGGGTTTGTGTGTTGCTCACGCACACATGTAAAGTAACATTTGCTTAGGGCCCGTTAGGACACCGCGACGGGATACTATCTGACAAAATTTCACACCAAAAGTGTTACATAGCATCAGATAGTATCTGGGTCCAAAGTGGACCAGATATTCAAAACCTGATTGCCGTTTGGTTTGAGTATCTGACATCAATATCTAATTGTCAAGATCCAGATATTGGTCCATATAGAGATACAGCCTTTTGGCTGTATCTTGAGCCAATATCGATGTGCCCCTCCCCATTCCATCTTCATTGTTCATTTCTTTCTCCTTTTATCATTACCCACACACCACACCCCTTCCCATTATTACCCTCTCAAAGACATCTCCTTGCTTGCTCGCTTGGCTATTCTTACAACTTTACTATAGCTAGATCAACTTTCTTTTTCTTCACTTGGAATCTCATATCTGTTCTTGTTCTCTTTCAAATCAGCCTTCCATCAAGACTAACATACCAATTTCAGTTGCTCAAGTTGTTCATTTGATCTAGTTTTCTATTGATGTACTAGGCTTTTATCTCAATTTTCTTTTTATCAATTTTCTCTTTCCTCAGCATTCAATCTTGTTCTAGTTCTGAAGTGAATGAACTTGTTTTTTTGATTTTGATTTTAATAGCCACGTTCAAACCTGACCTGGTTTCAAAAAACCCAGTTGACCCGGTGGACCTTTTGGCTGGAAGCTGTCAAGAACCATCAATGGATACACAAAGTTACCACCAGAAAAGCAACTGGGTAACCGGGTTTTTGTGTCAACCGGGTTAGGTTTGAGCACAGCTAATGATTTCTTGTTTTGGGTGTGGTCGTGAGGTTCAAACGGGTTCAGAACATGGAAAAGATGGTGCTTGATTTGAATTGAGAGGACATGCTGTGCTCATATCACAAGACATGTGTGGATATGAGGGACAACGAAGGAGGATAAAGGTCAACAATGACCATTTTATAAGATTGTTTGAGTAAACAGTGTGTAGATACGCCTGGATATTGTGTGGATATTGCAATCACCAAACACCGAACTGATCATGACAAGGTCAACAGACATCTGTTGACCTCTTTTGGTTTGCTGTTTGGTAATCTCAATATCCGAAAGACAACAATCTCGATGTGCCCCTCAAGATAGGGGCAAATTGAAATTTGGTTTTCAGGTCAGATACTATCTGAAAACAACCCAAACGGGCCCTTGTTTTATCAATCTCTACAGCTCAACAAATTATTCATCACACATCATAAATAGGTGAAATTGGGGTGATTAATAATCAGAATTATGAGGGCTACTAAACGAGCTATAGTATTCCAAAATTGGACACCTTTACAAAAAAAACATAATTTCAAAAATTGGTTCTCAGCTATGAATATTAGGAAAGAATCACCTGTATTCATCATAAGAAGATCTGTTGATACTTTATTAACATCAAATAATCAAATTCACAGCTTAAATCCCAACAAGCAATATTAATAATGACATCACAAGGTTATAACATTGGAGGAATTTTGATGGTTTTTGATGGACTTTGGAGTTTGTTGACCATCATTGGAAGCTTGTAAGGGGGTTGTATGCTATTGATGGTGGTTTTACGGGCTTTGTTCCCCTTTTTCTCTCATCTTATACTATTGTGAGAGTGTACTTAATCATTATTAAATTAATTTAGCAGTACTAAGCTCACTAAATAGCCCCTTTATATCAAAGGAGAAATTCCTTTATGTGTGATAAGACTACAAGTCTTCCTTGGGATAACAATCTAATTGATTGTTGCTATTTCAGTAATTAACATTGTGTTTTGACATGCTCAGATTGGAAAGCAGTGTTGAGTTTGTCTTTATTTTAAAAATTCACAGGAACAATACTTGCATTAAGTATTGATATGTCATTTTCTCTGGTGCCTTATCCCAAAGAAGTCGACAAATCCCCATGTTGGTTCTTTCAAAGAGGCATTCTCAGGCAACTTCTATTAGTTAGTTATACTAGTAGATTATCCCTCTTCAAGCTCTGTAAAGCTCTTGTTGAGCTTTAAGTTCTACAATGGTCATGGTGCCGCGCAACCCAACTTTACCTTTTTTGTTCCGTACTTACAGCAACACAGTGTCTTCTGCTAGGTGTTGTTGTGTGTTGCAGAGCAATACACCAAAAAACACGCTTGATGTGGTGCAGTGAGTTGCTGGCACAGAGTTGGTGCAACTGTCTCTACATAAAAAGGCTGCTTGAAAGTTTTAAATTTTGAAAACCGTATCAAAAATCACCACCTGAGAAGCACACTCCCAGCAATCTCATCTTCCAAAAAATAATTTTTCAATAGCTGTGAGGCCAAAGTGCATAAACTTTTTAGGTACCTTTTGACCAATTATACCACATAACATTTTACAATGTATTCTCCCAACTCTTGGGTCATTATGACATAAACTGTGAGCTACTAGCTTCTTTTAGGCTTGTCAACCACCAAGTAATAAGGTTTTGATGATAAACCAAGCTTAGTAGGCACATGAGAACATTCTTTTAGGTCTGAATTAAAGGTGTTTATGAAGAAGTGTGATCAAATCAGCACTGACTCCATTTACATGTTCCCTAAACAAAGGATTTTGGACACAAATGCAGGAAGTAAGGCAAGGCTTGAAGTCTTCTAGCAGAATAATAAAGGGAAACTGGTACCCAGTTTTGTGCCCAAGATAACCACACTCTACCCCAAAGTTTTCAATCAAGGGAAAACATCATCTAGTTATATTTTGAAGTTCTTAAGACTCTGAACACAAAGGGACTTCCATGAGTTTAAAGTTTCTCCAGATATTGGATCCCCTTAATAACTTGAGCAGTACTTTTAGGAACACCTCTTGACAAGATATAAGAATTTGTCAAAAGAACTTTGACAATCAAGAATGAGATTGATCAATTAGAGAAATGTACAATGTCTCATAAATGAGGACAAGGACTTGACTTATCTGTTTGGTAACGTCATCAATGATTTGTTTGATCTGAGTGAGTGTGATGATGCATTTTCACAAGGGGTGGGAGAGCTCCTTATATACTCAAGACCATGAAAATCCCTTCCACTACAAGCATTAAAGAGCTTCCCTGGCCTAGGCTGGGAATCTCATTGAGAGTAGAAGGGGTCATCAAATCACACTGCACAACTGAGCCATAAAGCATATGCTACATATGTGCAAACATCTGAGTAAATCCTTAACTATTAGCTACATATAGTTCCACTCAGTTATCTGCTCATCTGGATAAGCAAATCACATGTAACACATTCTGTAGCTTTGCTCCGATTGAGACAAGCATTTTAAAAAGTTGACTACATACATCACCATGGCTACTCGGGAAATATTCATGAAGCTGTGTAAAGTAACAGAAGGGGAATTTGGTCCCTAGGACCCATATGCCCATCCGGGAACCTCTTCAATGCTGGAAGTGTTCAAAGAATAAGAGGGGATGGAATCGATGAATTGGTACCTGGATGGATTGGGGTTGAGTACCTCTTGTCCACAGCCTCACTGAGTGTAAACGGCGCAACAGCTGGGCTCCTTACTATCAAAACTCTCCCACCGGCTGGCCAAACCAATGCAAGAACAAAATGAGAGGGTGCGGACAAGATCTTGCCTAGTTTTAGGAAATATCATCAATAGCATATTAGCCTTACCAACAGTATTCTGTCTTTCTGTCTATCAATTTTGCAATCCCCAAGTCATCTCATGACCTTCAAATAGAGATCCACTAGTACAACCATAACTACAAGAACTCTACAATAGCATGTTTGTATACCTCACTCAGAAGATCAGAAAGTATGTCCTTTGTTTTTGACAACAATCACTCACGTGCAAAGTTGTTGCTGTATGCGCTTTGTGTACAACTTGATCAGCACAGCTTCAGGATGTTACAAATTGGATTTGTGCGCTTGCTTTCCTGAGTATTTGTCTATGAATGTTTGAAGCTTATTGATAATGAACTCATATCTTAAATCACTGAGTGAGTATGTATTGCTTCTGTCGCAGTTAACCAGTTTATCAAGTCTTGCCTGACTGGAGCTCGGTTGGCCTTTGTGTTCAGATTCATCGTTCCAAGCTTTTGATTGGTATCGAACGGCTCCCAGGATATCCTCCACATAGGTGGGCTTCCCGGTAATGATTGCATGTAGGTCGGCGGACGCGGATTGCCACTTTACTGTATCACCCCAAAGATACCATATCTTCCAGAGAGTCACCACCTTATCTAGCCCCCAACAGGCTGCCTCGGGAAACCTTTCCTTTCTCTCCGATTGCAGGCCTTTTCCGGCCCTTCTCATTCCTTCCTCTTTTTCTATGAGAGGGAGTATGTTTTTTGGTCTTTGCCTTAGTTGTTCTAGACCTGATCTCTCAGTTTCTTTGATACCAAGAAACTCCCAGAGCTCTGAGAAGTTTCGATCCCAGACTCTCCATATTCCAGTGGTCATATTCGCACCAGCATAAGCAGTGATCTTGAAAATCCTCAAAGGGGACTTGGTTGAAACGACCTTTTCCAAATTTTTCAAGCCCATATCTGGGTAAAGTCCTGCTTGTTGACTCCCGTGGCCATAGTCATGAATTGTTCGCATTCCTTTTGTTTTGGCAGTACCTCCCCCAACACCTATAAATTCCACACCTGATTTGAGTAAGCCATTCATTGCTTTGAGGTTAATCCCCGAATTGTACGTGTGAGAGTAGAGAACACCATCTTCATTCAGGGCATACGACCACGGACTTGCCATGGTCACACCGACTTTTTTTGCCCTTTCGGGGTTCTCCTCAAGTAGATGAGTCAACGGAGCAGGTGAAGTTAATACAGCAATAGCGGTATAGTCCGCTTTGTCAATCATATCCCTCAACGCATCCAGACCTGCTTTAAATATAGGGTGATCCCAAGCGTCTTCTCTAAAAGTCTTGCCTGCATCATCTTTTAGTGACTTCTCGAGTGCTTGTGATTGCTCAATGTATCTCACTCTTTCTTCTTCCATAAGATATCCAAATCCTTCTTCATAGTCGTAGGGATGTCTTGCCTCATCTTCTATATAGATATGCGGAAATCCCCGGTACACTTTGGGGACTTTTTCTGGTGGAATTTTATAATGTTTGCAAGCGGCATCGACAAACTGTACTACGGATTGATATCGAAGCTCAGTAAAACCTCCGTATGGGATGAGGAATTTTGGGATGATCCCATCCTCGAGCTGTAACAACAAGAAGAGCAAGTCATCTGCCTCGTCATCGAGTATGACTCCATAATTTCCTTTTGAGACAGCCTGCGCGTAATTCATAGAAGCGGCTTTGGCAGCTTTTGTGTCAGCATTCAGTTTACTGATCACTATCTCAACTTGATGGGTCACTTCAGCATCTGACAAGTTCTTCCAGCACACATTTGCAAATTGACCCCATACTTGTAGCTTCACCGTGTGCTCCAAGTCTTCCAGTCCGCACTTTTTTAAAGCGTCGGTGATGATCTTCTCTGCAAAAGCCAAGTTATTAGCACTTTGAAGTCGATGAACCAGCTGGTGATTTTGAGCAAAGTGGAGCTGATCAAACTTCGGAGATGTCATGAGATGCATAAGAAGTTTTCGAGACAATTTATCTTGATACTTGGGGACCTTGAAGATCATCTCATGTCTGTCTGGTACACCTGACATCTCGTCGAACTCCGGTTTAAGTTTTCGAATCTGGCTTGATGTGTATGACGCGATTCCGTCATCCGAGGACTTCAAACCCATGACGGTAGGCGTGGCTTGTTAATCAAATTGGGATAATGGAGGAAAAGATTCGGTGCATTAGTATTTTCGTTCGCATCCAGCTAGGTGAAGACGAGGGTTCTAACTTTCGATAGCTGAGTACACATCCAGGAAAACCATCGAGCTCACTGCTACTAGGCATAAGTTTCTAAGATCAAAGGGAATCATGGTGTGCGACCTTTGGAGTGAGCGAAAATGGAGATCTATAGTCACTGGCTGCGATGAATTGGGTGAGTAAGCCCCTCGGCACTTGAAAGCAACCTTGAGCTGTGTACAGTCGTTTTCAAAAAGCTTGCCCAAATTTGCCCGCAAAACTCGAGCAATTTGGCGGTGAATTTGCGGCAAGCTTTTTGCAAACGACTGTATATATTGGAGATGGTACTTGGGCAAAATGACTCTTTTCCTCCTCAGTATGAGATAATGAGCTCCATAATCAAGAACAAAGTTTAACATGTCAAATGTAAGATCAATATCTCCACCCATCCACCCATCAAGCTTCTTATCGCATGTTCATTGATACAAGACTTGTGGTGAGACGTCGATTATCTTTTCGATACTTGTTTGCCCAGCTGGCAGTGTCCTTCAATTGTAGGCTCAACTAACTAAGAATACTGTGTCAACATTCAATTCTCCCTATGGGGCCATGACGCTGCGCGAGGACTTGAATTCCGGATATGAAACGCATGAAACCTACCTGTGCGCGATAATCGATTGTCTCTTGATTTGCGCGTTGTAATCCGTCTTCATCAGTCAGTCTGAGCCTTCGTAGTCTAAGTGCTACTCGAGGAGACTGATCTACATAGAACGATGTGCGGCTATTAATGATCATCCGCAAGATTTTCCTTCTCGGATGCCTAGCTGTGATGCCTTTTGGATGTGGCAACATGGTGGAAATTCTGGCAATGGGGCCACTCAGGCCTGCAACCGACTGGCTCCAAGGAGCCTACCGGGCGTAGCTTTGCGGCCAAGTCTCAGTCGACTTATCGTATCGTCGTTCAAATTGGTACATGCGACACACTTCAGGAGATGATGCGCTGATCGGTAAAGAAGCCATGATAAGGATAAAAGTTCACCGCCCACCTATGCCAAGCGGAAAACCGGACGGGAAAAAGGAAACAGTGGTTTATCAAACCTGAGCTGCTGTGGTTTATATCTGTTGTCACCTTGAACGTTGGGTGTACCACCCAAAGGCTATCACCGAAGTGAAACGTCTGTATTGAAATGTGCGGTCATCATGAGATCACGGTTTAAAGGTTTATCAGCCCTATAGGGGCTCTCAAACCTGACCTGGTTTTCAAAAACTCAGTTGACCCAGTTGGCTTTTTGGCAGTAACTTTGTATATAAATTTGACATTTATTGACAGCTCCCAGCCAAAAAGTCAACTGGGTCAACTGGGTTTTTTGAAACTGGGTCAGGTTTGAGAGCCCCATGTCCGGGACTTATCTAACTTATTGGGCTTCCCTGGTGAGCCAGCAGAGGGTCCAAATTCAAGTTTGGCTTGAAGGTTTTTTCAAACTTCAAAAGCTCCCACTTCCTCTCAATCAACCCTTTTGCCCATTCAAACTTAAGCTACATGTGGCTATTTCCATCAGATGTGTCTATTCAGAGTTCTCACCTCAGGCTCAGGCTCTGAGTTTTCTCAAGAAAGAGAGAAAGATTTTGAGATTTGGAATTTGGTGACTGTATTTTTGAAACAAAATTTACAAAGGACCCAAATTCTTTTGCAAGAGTATTAATAATTGACCAATGAACTTTGTTTAAAAACACAAGTTGTTCATCTAGATGCTCTGAAGATTTGACTCTCCTCAGAAATTCTATATTGTATCAACTACAGAAGATGCAAGGCTGTAGAAGAGCAGGGCCTTTTGGGCCCCTGCTCACACACCAAAACTAGCTGATAAGTCACAAGTCCCTCTGCAGGGCACCAAGCTTGCAAAGGTTAAAAAAACCCTGCAAGGCTTGGGACTTGTGTCAAGTTAGCTGACTCAGAGGTTTGGAGGCTGAAGGTAGCTGATCCGGGGTCACTACAGTCTTGGCGCAATCAACAATAGTTGTTGTGCAAAAAGAGAGGTTTGTGCAGATTGGAAAGCTTCAAGATTGGATATCAGTGCTATTGTTTAAGATATCAGGTTAAATGATTCCGTATCAAAAGTGGATTTGAAATACCTCTCTTCCCCTTCCTCTCTATCCTAGCCTATAGCCTCACTGAGAGTGGTCAAAATGCCCTTGGGAGTTCAGTATATTTCTTTGCAAATACAACTCATGTTTTGTGTTTCTTCTTGCACCCCCCTCGCCCCCCCACCAAAAATGGGTGCAACAGGGCGTTAATGTTTTCATATCTTGTGCCTGCCACATGGACTCATAGTCCCCCACTTTTGTTTTCTTCAGGCTCAACAATCAAGTGTCCAGTAATCATAGCTATTGTCCCCCATTCATCTTTCAGAGGTATATATTTTTTCTTGAGATCCCCCTATTTAGTGCCCAGTTAGCCAATACCCGGTGTCCGCTTCATTTGGGGCATTACCCAAATTACCTGAGCGCACCCACACCATCTTTTTGACTGAGTCAGACCTCCAGGGCTCCACACAGCCCCTTTCATATGTCTTTTCCCTTGCTTTGCACCCACTTTATCTACAATAGGGCAATGAAAGGGCTCAACATCCATTCTGCACTCACACAGCCAACAAATTTACCTCAGATTTTTCAATCTGAGGTATCCGGGGTCAAAGATGCCTTGACCCAGGTAGGTGCCGGTGGAAAGGCCAATTTGAAGCAAGTGATGATGAATGGTAGTTGCTTTCTGTTGTATAAATATCAATATATATGTGAGTACTTACATAAACAAACAATCCTTTCTGAACCCTTGGACATAAGCTGGCTGATTCATTTCTTGCAGAATCTCCCATACTCTCTGTGGTAGTTAGGGGAAGTCTGGCTGAGCCAGACGTTCAGTAATATCCATTACATTGGTCTCAGGAAACACAAAGAAAATGTACTATGGGATATCTTAATGAGTCAGTATCAGTCTCTTTGGAAAAGCATCAGGGTCTGCAGGGGCTGGTTCAAGATTTTCTCAGGGATACCACACCAAAAAATTCAAATCTAGCAAAATTCATACACTTGAAGTTGTGACACCTACATCAATTTTCACAGATTTTGGACATTTTGAAATCCATACATCCACACAACCACCCTTAGAGCATCCCCAGTGCAGCTGAAACCGGAAAAGTGGTACAGGTGTTTACAAATGACACTTGGACACCTGTATCTCAGTTCCAGCTACAGCATCAGCACCACATAAGCTGGATATTGCCTCACAGGAAATAACAGAGAGAGATGAATGACAGCTCTCATACCTGAGGACAACACCAGTCCATGAAAGGTGAAATAGAAATAAGAGAAACTACTAAAATTCTACCTTATTCTGAATGGATAAGAGAATGGACATGAAGAAATGAACTTGAATGAAAAGAGTAAACATGTTCAGATGAGAAAAAGGGGAACAACAGCATCGTGATCAGATACAAACTACAAGTAGGTGAAAATTCTCATCCTTCCTTTCCCAATCAGGCATAGTCTCTTCTCATCTCTATGTTTCAGCTCCAAACTCTTCTTCATCTCAATCTGTCAAAATTTGGTTCAACATGTGGTTTTATACTTAGGTTAAGCACATGATGGTGAAGTAACTACAATAAGGTTAAGACCCTATGTGAAGGTTACGTTTCCGGCAGAGCGCTGGGGATGCTATTATTTTGAGCAAAATAAATCCATACATGTTTGACCCCCGTCAAAAGAATTTTTCTGCCAAATTCATTCCTCCCAGGTCATTGGGCTTTGGCTAAGCTTAACTAAGCCCCTCTTCTGATTTGGCCACATCCTATCTTGAAGATAGGCTTACCCCAGCTTTGGCCTGAGACCAGCAAGATTTTTGAGCACTTTTGCTTGAAATCCCTTTTTGAGGGCCCAAAACATTGTGCAACCTAACAAAACATTGAAAATAGCTTTTTATAAGCCCCATACACATACTTGTGCCACTTTTAGTACCACTTCACTTGAGCGAAGTGACACAGTCAAGTTGTTGAGTTCTTGTAAATCTGGGTCTTGTCCAGCACATGTGAACTCTTCAAAATCACTTGATATTTGAAACAATTTCCCTCACAATCTACAAGAGGTGACAGGCTATAAAACAGTTTATTGCAAGGTTTCATGACATTTAGAGCCCTCAAAAAGGGATTTCAAGCAAAAGTGCTTGAAAATCTTGCTGGTCTCAGGCAGCAAGGTTTGATGGGGTACTATGAAGTTACTTGCTATTTTCAATAACTTTTAGGCTCTCAAAGAAAGACCTATAAAGATCTACTAATAAAATCATAACCTTAGGAGCTCTTCAGAAGCCTCTTTTGTATAGCTCATTTGTCCCAGGATATGTGCGCTTATGCCCTATCAAGCTCCTCTGGAACTGTACCCTAACATCCTAGGACATAGCATAGGTCTAGGTTCACTTTTCTATAAATTGGATCCAAGATTTTCTTTCACTGAGTATTGGTTTATAATTTTTTGAAGCTTATTGATAATTAGCTCATATCGTATATCACTGAGTGAGTACTTATTGCTTGTGTTGCAGTTGACCAGTTTATCTAGTCTTCCTTCAGTGGAGTAGGGTTTTTCCTTGGTATCAAATTGATCATTCCAAGCTTCTGACTTGTACCGAATTGCTCCCAGAATATCTTCTACATAGGAGAGTCTACTGGTGATAATTGCATGTAGGTCTGCAGAGGCGGCTTGCCACTGTACCACATTACCCCACAGATACCATATCTTCCACAGAGTCAGCACCTTATCTAGTCCCCAGGAGGCCGCCTGGGGAGCTTTTTCTCTTCCCTCCGATTGCACGCCGGATTCAGGCACCGACAAAAATCCCTCTGCAATCTTTCGGGCTACTTTCCCCCTTCTTCGCATCACTTCCTCCTTTTCGATGAGAGCAAGAATAGCTCCTGATCTCTGCCTTAGTTTTTTTAGACCAGGTCTCTTGATTTCTTCGATGCCAAGAAATTTCCAAAGCTCTGAAAATTCTTGATCCCATACTCTCCAAATTCCCGTGGTCATATTTTCACCAGCATGCGCGATGATCTTGAACATCCTAAAAGATGACCTGGTGGATATGACTTTTTCCAGGTTTTTGATGCCCACATCAGGGTATAGCCCTGCTTGTTGACTTCCGTGGCGATAATCGTGAACTGTTCGCATTCCTCTTGTCTTGGCAGTACCTCCCCCGACACCTATGAAGTCTGCACCCGACTTGAGTAAACCCTTCATTGCTTTTAGGTTGATCCCTGAGTTGTATGTGTAAGAGTAAAGAACACCATCTTCCTTCAAGGAATAACACCACGGACTTGCCATTGTCACACCAACCTTTTTTGCTCTTTCGGGGTTCTCCTCGAGTAGATGAGTTAACGGAGCAGGTGAAGTTAATACAGCAATAGCGGTATAGTCCGCTTTGTCAATCATGTTCCTCAATGCGTCCAGACCTTCTTTAAATGTAGGATGATCCCAAGCATCCGCTCTAAACGCCTTCCCTGCGTCATCTTTCAGCGCCTTCTCCAGTTCTTGCGATTGCTCCATGTATCTCACCCTTTCTGCTTCTGGAATATATCCAAAGCCCTCATCGTAGTCGTAGGGATGCCTGTTCTCATCTTCTATGTAGAGATGCGGGAATCCCCGGTACACCTTGGGGACTTTTTCTGGAGGGATGTTATAATGTTTGCAAGCTGCATTGACAAATTTCATCAAGGATTGATAGCGAAGTTCAGTGAACCCTCCGTATGGAATGAGGAACTTTGGGATGATTCCATCCTCAAGCTGTAACAATAAGAAGAGTAAGTCATCTGCCTCATCATCGAGGATGACTCCGTAATTCCCCTTTGAAACGGCCTGTGCATATTTTGTGGCGACCAATTCGGCACCATGCGTGTCGGCTATCAGTCTATTGATAACTGTCTCTATGTAATGGGTCACTGCAGCTCCTGACAAGTCTTTCCAGCATACATTGGCATAGTTCCCCCATACCTGCAGTCTTACTGTATGCTCCAAACCTTTTAACCCCCGCTCTCTTAAAGCTTTTGTGATGTAATCTTCTGCAAGGGCCGAGCTCTTTTCACGTTGGGCAAGATGAGCCAGTCGGTAATTTTGGGAAAAGTAGAGTCGATCAAACTTGGGAGACGACAAGAGATGCTTGAGAAATCTTTGAGCTAGTTTATCTTGATACTTGGGCACCTTCAAGACTAGTCGCTGATCGGCGGTTAAACCTTCGTCAATATCGGACCGAAAACTTTGGGTGTGATGCACGATGCCTGATTCGATTCGGGTCGGAGTTGCTTTCAATAGCTCAGCAGTGGCTTTGCACATTAGTGTAGTAAGGAGAAAGCAGAGGTAGTGAGTATCAACTTTCTATACAAGTGGGGTCAGGAAATGTCAATAGAGCTGATAGTATACCTGGGAATGCATCCAGAAAAAGAATGGCGAGAACAAATATTCGATATAGCTTGTTCAGGTAAGATTGGTTCATGATGTGAAGCTTTTGGATCAAGTAAAAATATGGTGCTATAACAATCAGTTGACACTGTTTCGATGTGCCTTCGGACAAATATAGCTGGTCTTGAACCTACGATTATTTGCAGACAAGAGTTATAATCTTGGAATAAGAACGTGTGTCCCAAAATCACGCCTTCACCTTTGAGTGCAAGACAGGCTATTTTAAGTGCACGACTTGAAGCTTGGCATGTTTTGCAAACCCAGACCCAACTATATATGTACACATAGATGACGTTTTCATTCATCGATTCAAGATAAGCGTACATGGTTGAACTTGCATCCGCATAGTTTTATTCAATCTAGGCACACGTTACGAGGCCTAACAAGACATGAAGACTGATGCGGGTCATTGAGCGCAGCGATTAATCCTATAGCGCCCACTTTCTTTAAGCCCCAAAACGAACGGAGAAAGTGCAAGATGTTTCATGACTGCCGTCATTGCGGTTCTCTTGATAAAATGTGCTAATTGTCGGACTTAAGAGCCAGTTTTGTCTTTCTGGTACCCATCAAACACCTAGCTTAACACGGGCCCCACCAGCCGCAGAGATCACCCCCGGAACCTGCAGAGAGGGCGGTAAGTTGGAGCAAGACCCTGGAATGCGCCTAGAGGTTACTGACAGAGACGGGTTTTGAGTTTTTAGGCCATACAAATTCAATCAGTACTCGCCTCAAGGTGGTGAGCACCTCAAAATATGCGTGCGGAGTAGGGCTATTGAACGAGCCCGGCAGACTTCCTCACTGCGGTGTAAATCGCAAAGGCGCAATTTTTTTCGACCCCAAAGCCCAATCACGACCCTCAATTTGTGGCCTATTTTTGGCCGCTACAATATCTCGAGAAGTACTGGTGCTAAAATGCTGAAAGCTGGCTCAAATGAAAGCCCTCATTCTTACGCAGATGCTGAGCTCTTGTAGGTGTACAAAAAGTGCTATTTAGTGCCCGAAAACCTTGCCAACATAAGGTCTAAGCTTACGTCAGTGACCTCTGTAGGTGTATTCCTGGGACCTAGTCTCTCTGGAGTCTGGAGGTCGGATGTTCCAACAGACAGTAGTATGTACGAGGACTGATTAAACCCTGAAAGAATTCCCTGACCCTTTCCCTTCCAAATTACTGATAACGGTCAAACCACTCACATAGACTTTACCAATTTGAACTAGTCTTTATCAATTTGAAGTCTGACTCATTCGTGTTAGATTCAATTGCAACATATGTATACCAAGCAATCATCTCAATAGCATTTTCATCATTTTCAATCATTTGATGATTGGTTTCTGATACCAAGTCTTTGGTTGAACTAAGAATTTTGTTCCTTTCCCTTATTGTCATCGGAAGGATTTGGCAACCTTGTTTTTATTACCATATGATAAAAGACAATTGTCAAGAACATTTATCAATACTCAAGCAAGCAAAAATAAATAAATCTATTATGACAAATACATCAAAATGAAATTATTCAAAGTAAAGAGCTGTTCCTAATCATGAATTTGCTGGTAATATCTATGATCACATTGTATGATATTCACCACAACAATTCATAATGATGATTGGATTATGATCTAAGCTATCATTGTTTGAAAAGTAGTTCTGATGAACAAAAAAAGTGTGAACTCAGTTTCCAAGAAGCAAACTATGATAAAACAGGCACACAACACAAAGTAATCAAACAGTGATAACGTAGAAGCAAAAGATGACAAAAAGATAATAAAAAAGAAAACTATGATGGCAAGCAAGGGATTGGTCAGTGGTAAGGGGTAAGGCTTGGACCCGGCCCCAGAACCACCCAAGTGGGCCAGAGCTCAAGCAGAACTTGCACTTTGTTGGCCCTCTGAATGTGCTCTTGGGCCAGCAAAATGGGCCCAAACAAAGGGGTTTGTCTAGTTGTGCAGCACCCTTTCCATCATGATCCACCAATACCTTAAATGTAACTCTAAATGTCTTTTCTGTCCACCAATATCAGAATTCACAGCATCAGATTACGAGTCACTGGCGGCCAGGTCATCCGGGGACTTGAATATCAGAATGTTTTCAACATAATTTCTAAGTTTGGCCCACAGTAATTCAGACCCAAATACCAAGAGTTGACTGAAGTAAGGTTTAGCTGCATGTGTCCACACTGGAATCCAGTGTAACTTTAGAATATGCGGGAACCAGCCAGGTTATTCAGAAAAAATTGTCCCCATACATTCTTCTGAAGTCTTTCTGGGATTCTCACACTACTTAAAACTCCAAATTAAGTTGAAGTACTAGACACTTGTTCATATATGAAAGGATTTATTTGTGAAGGTATCTTGAAACCAAAAAATGTTGGGTTTCTGTTTACCAGTGTGAGCTGGATAATGAGCCAGGTCCTGAAAAGTGATTATATCACTGGGAGCAACGCCCAAACCAATCCAACAAAAATGTTGGTATTGTATTGGTCTGGTATTTTTAAACCAATACTAAAAGTAGACTGTTCCCATGTTGGTTCATCCAAACAAGGACCCAATTTAGTACATATCAGGTATTGGCAATACAAGTTGTGGTGATTCTGCTTTGCTTTATTGTATTGATTTGTATCAATTATGCAATTTGATATGAGTGTCCTAATTTTTTTTATTTTCCATACAGTAGGTATAGTACTGTGTACTACCTTCCAACCAGCCAAACAGATATTTGATTTTGATCTCAAAGATTAGTACCTCACACTGTGTCCACAGTTAATGTTAATGATGAGATTGAGAAGAAGATGATGATAAAATTGAGGATGAGAGGGGTGCAAAATGAAGTCAAGCATACCCTTCCAAGATGACAGATAGCCTGGTCCAATAGGCTATTGAGACAGAACATTTTTCCATAGCACAATGACTTCTAGATTTCTCCTAGTATTAATTAATGGGCCAGTGAGGTGTACAAAGGCAAGAAACGGATTGAAATGGATTGATCCCTTACCAATCTGGCAAAATCAACATTGTGTGGTGGTTTATTGGGGAAAATGGATGGAACTTGTAAGGAATAAGGCTGGTAATACCGGAACTATGGCAGTATAGTACCAGCATTGCTGGTACTGGAGATTTTGGTACCAGTACAGTACATGTGGTGGCAGTACTATACTGAGTATAGTACCTAAGAAGAAAATGCTGGTTTTTGATCCCTTGAGTACAGTAGCAGCCTCCTAGGTATACACTCAAAAAATAGATACTATACTGTACTTTACCAATACCAGTACAGTAATTGTTGCTGAATTGACAACATGATGAGATTGAACAATCCCTTGTCCTTCCTTCTTGGAAAATTTTGAGCCTGCACATGGTTGAGAGAACCCAATATGCACACAAGTTTCCAAACCACAGTTTGAAAAGAAGTATGACAAATGAGAGCAGAACATGAGCATTGTATAATCTGGTCTTGATCTTTTCTCTCTTGGCCTGAGATTCAAATTAAACACACTATTTAAGTCAGCTTACAAAGAATGCAAGATCCAAAGCAAGAATCAGAAAAGTATTACTGTGACTTGTCACCAGTTGTTTTCTTACTTGCTACAAAGAGTATTGCAAAGAAAGAGGGCATCATGTGCCAAAGTTTTAGAAGCAGGAAATGGAGATAGCTTCGTAGATGAGAAGATATTCTGATGCAGAGAAGCAAACATCCAGTGAAATGCATAGGTAAAATAGCTATAAATTTCAGGGAGTATCACCCACACACCACAAATTCCTAATGTCATTTCTTTATATATTTTATCCCTTGGTTTGTATTTTTCTCTCACAGGGAAATCAAGACAATGTGATAAGTAAAAGAATCAACTGTTTGGGCTCTACCACAAATACAATCACAGCCTATGATATCTGTTATGCATGTTTAGTTTGAAAACCTATGATTTTGAGAGTGAAAAGTGACAAAGAAAATCACCAAAACCGGTACATAAAAGTGGCAGAACAAAATATGAACTGCAATTAAAGAAGGCTGGGATATGCTGTGAGAAGAAGATAGTCTGGATCCATATTCTCTGTATATCATATAGATATGTTACAATGTCATGCTTTGTCATTGTCTGGTGACATGAAGAAAGGCTCACAGGGGGCTGAGAAAACTGATTTGGGCTGGACATACCTTTTCAAGGGTACACTTGAAAGCATGATGAGCTGGATTATCCTTGAATCATGCAATCATGAATTGAGCAAGCTGAGGGTGAGATCAATTCAGGCAAGTCTTCTGGAAGATGGTAAGATTAGTCCTCTGTTCCTTCAAGATATGTGTGGATCCAAACAATGCAATTTTTCTATTTAGATTCAAACTCCTGACAGAATAAAGACCTCTCATACACTGATTCAATCCACTCTTGTAAAAATTCACAGGGGCAAATTTGAAGGGAGATTTTATCAAAGGTGTGGAACATACACCGTTAGGACTCAGAGGGTTAAATTTGAAGGAAATCTCAAGACAGCAACTTGTGATTTCAGTGTAAAGTACAGTAAGTTTCAAAATGTACAATAGTAAAGGTACAGTGTCAGTTTGAAAATAGATCAAACTTGATCCAGATTCTATTTTTTGAACATGAGCAAGGGTTCAATATTAAATTGGGGCCTGCCCATGGATTAATTGAATATCAATTTGATGAAATGGAAACAAGAGACACATAACCCCTAGTATAGCATTTGAATATATTTACAAGTACTTTGAGCACTTTCTAAACCAGCTGGTTGTAAACATTGTATGGCAGTGAACATATCCATTGAGAGAATGATGTTCTGTCTCTGAAAGATTGTTATAAGAATTAACAAGTTTCAAATGACAAGGTGTATGTTGATTGTCTCTTGAAGGCAATGGTTTCAGAGAACAATTGGGGTGGATTTAAATGGATTTGGCATTGGTGATAATGTGTGCAGACACTAGATTTGTGAATTGGTGAATGTATTACTCACCTTGCAGTCACTTCAACTCAATGCACTGCAGTAACCATAAGTTAGTATACTATTGAAGTTCCATTCCTCTCAATATCCAAAGAGTTGGTATAGGTATGGAACTCAAAGCTCAAGACTGATTCTCCAAAGACATATATATTGGCCAGTTTTATCTATGACTGAGAACTGTGCTTCAAATTATATTGACACACAACAATATAGACAGCTCAGGACAGTTCTGATTCAAGCAGAGAATCCATTTCCGTCTCCGCCTTCTTGACATCCAGAGAAACAGGTGGTGCAAAACCTTGTCATTCTCTAAAGGGGATGCTCAGCGTACTGTTTCAATATCCTTCAGATCAAGTGAAAAAGAACTGCATCTGAAGACAAAGGAAAGTCCACTATGCTGTCTATCACTGGAAAAGGGATATCCCCGGATAGTTGATAGCAAGTAAGTCTTTGAATCCTTATCAATGAGAAATAATTACAAGTCATATGTTGAGCGGATCTAATCAAGAAGGATCTGCAAAAAAAATGAGACACCACCGTTAAGCTGCAAGCATGTCTGATTCGGAACCCTGTACGAGGCGACATTCCGGGGTGTACATCTATCTGATTGACTCTGCTGAAGAGATGTCAACTGGAGACTTCGGTTGTTGTCGAGCTTATAACCTTCAAGATGATGACCTATGATGACTCTGAAATCCACCGATCTTTGAGATTTGACGTTGATGAACTGTGATTTTGAGGATATGTATGTGGCATACAATGACCCCCTTGATTGCGACTTCAAGCTATTTCCATGATACGTCATAGATATCCTTTATCGATTGAACTTCTGATAAGACACAATGTTGATGATATCTTTCGACCTTTTTCGACAACGGCTGATTACGTTGAGCAAGCTCCGGTTGTCCAGACTGGGGTGTCCTTGGGAAAGGGATGTTTTTGGTCATGAGAAATGAAGTGAATTGATGTTGATTGTTGTTTGAATGAGTTGAATACGGATTTGAAATAATTTGAAATTCTCGATGATTAACTTCAACTTTCGAAAGGAATCACCACTTATACTTAGAAGTTAGTAATGTGTGTCCTATGTACATATCATTCCGCTTTCGTATCATCGGTTGCAACTTGCTCCCATTGCTTACCACTGTCACCGTCACCGGCCGTCACCGTCACTGCCTCAGCATCTTCATCCTTTCGCATCCCATCACGTCACGTTACTTTAGACTTACGAGGCCCAGAACCGAGATTAGCACCTCAACGAACATATTTTCCGATATCTCGACTTTTTAATCCACTATATAAATCGGTCTTCGTTTCCTCCTGAACCGGTCAGTCTTCAACTCAACTTCAACTTCATTTTCTCATCTAAAAGCTTACTCCTATATCGCTTGAAGATTTCCTTTTTCAGCTTGGCCTAATCGAGTTTGTCTGAAAAGCTGGCTTGGCTCTTACGGGAATAGCATCACCATCATCATCATTGAAATACCAGTTACCTTTTTGCACTGCAGTCTTCAATAACCCGCAGTCATCCTCTTTTCAATATAATCGACCCACTTCAATCGCAGTCTTCTACACGTTTCGCAACCTACAAAACTCAAACACTTTGCATACAAATAATTCATATTCACACTCTCTGTTCACCTATTATCTTTCACCTATCGCGAATACCACACTTTTACGAACAGCGGATTCATCTTTGTATCAACTTGCATCGCTCACGTCAAATGCCCTCTACTCGCTTCCTCGTCCATGGTAGTTTTGCCGCAATCGCTTTTTCTGCGGCTGCTGGCTCCATTGTGGCTACCATCAAGTTAGGTGGATTGCAATTCTTGAAAGAAAACTGTGAGCCCTGATTCCTGTGAAAATCCTATTTCAACCTGTATATATGATCTCTTATCTGATTCACTTCTTTTCATCTGTATAGTCTTTGAAGGCCTTTGCGTGGACGTCTGGGACGGCTTTTTCTTATCGCCTTTGAACTTGGTGGCAATATCATTCTTGATTTTCCTACCATTTCATTGTTGGGTCATCAACGCACCACTTTCGATATTATGCCTCACCAGTATCATGGGATTCCCATCATTCCTTTTCTTTGCTGCAGCTTTCCTTGAAACTTCACCTGTCCTCTTACCAATTGGATTGATAGTTAGCTGTTTTGGAAAATTTGGATTATCAGAATTACAACAAGCAACCCATTCATCTTCATCACCTAAGACTTACATTCATTCCAAGTCACCTTCACCTTCGATTTCACACCGATCAAGTGCTTCATCAATGTTTATTTCAGAAGACCACAGCACCCCTGCTTCATCGATCAGAAGAAAACGCAGCCACTCTTGATTTTTTTCTTTGTTAATACTTCCTAATACATGTTCAAATCCTTTCAACACTCAATTTTTGAAAATATAAACATCATCACCTTTCACTTGTATTTATCTTCTGTTGTTTTGAATTTCACATTTTTATAACTTTTGATCATTCACACATGTAGCAACAATTTTATTTTTCTTTCACCTTTTTTTCTTTTTCCAACTTTTTTTTTCAATTATATTTACTTTATTATCTTTAGCTTCTAATGCGTTCAGTCTCTACTGACTCGTTTTTTTCAATTGCAAATATCACATAACCCATAATTTTTTCTTCTCTCTCTTATGCACAGCTTCAATTTTATTATTCAAATGTCATTGCACCGTTTCTCCCTTTTTTCATTGGCTGCGCTGGGATTCAATTTTGCTTCCTCGGTTTATCATTCTGGCTCATTTTGTGGATCAAGTATATAAATGTCATTAACTCCTTTTGCAAGCCTTTTCCATACACTCAAATCAAAAGGCTTATAAGACAACGTCTTGATTGTCCATACATGTACGTTTTTGTACCCACAACGAACCCTAGAGGCGGTTCTAAAAGTGGCAACTTTGAGACACAGCTGAAATTGGGCGTCTCGGTTTGTCAGACGGCACGTGTGGTGTTCCTTTTTGGAATTCAAGTCAAATTGCACTCAATGGAACAAGAAAATGATGCAAATGCTGTTCAGAATCACATTTGTTCGTCTGACGTCAACAAAGAGGTGTTGTAAGTTCGTATGACTGTATATTCCTCAATATATATACCACTTAGCATCAGTCAAAGATACCAATCAGGAGGACAAATAAACACATGTGCACAGGTACTGAATTTGTGTGCTCCAATGTATCATCAAGGTCACAGTCATTGATATCAATGCCACTCTTGGCCTTTTTTGCATACAAGCAAAGATTTCCTCAGTAGCACAGTTTCAGAGATCAAATCACGAACCAATGTGTAACCTTCTTGTACCTCTAAATATCATCCAATCCAATCCTGGCCGAACATGTCTCCTAAGAAGTCATTGACTCCAACTTTCTCTTAGATTAACAAAAGCACCACCAATCTGCGGGTGCCTCATGTTCTCTGGTTGAAGTGGGTCAGCTTGACGACATATCTAACCAGAGGCTTGCCACTCCAGTGCCACCAGCGCCAGTCCAGGACTCCTCCTTGAAATCGAGCACGTGACTACACTAACACTTACACATACATATCTTAACAGGTGCAGTGACCAGTCATGCACCCTGTATGTAATATTGTATCATCCAATACAGACCAACGCATTCATTTCAATCACAGTCAGTCATCAACTCATAGCATCAACTTCAAAACGAACAATCGATCGAACAAATCATAATCAATTAACAAAACATGGATAATGGAAAAGTAGAAATCGAGGGGGATGAGATGATGGTCGATGGTCTGTAACTTCAAAACTCATTCCTCAAGTTTTTATAAATCGGAATACCTTTAACTGAAATCTTATTCCACTTTCAAACCACTCAATTCAATGTCAACCCACAATCGAATCACGATCTCCGAAACAAAAAACAATCAATCAATGACGTGTCTTTTGTCGCTCTCAAATTATTATTATTATTATTATCATCTTTGATTCAATTAGCGAAAGTGAATATTGATGAATCAACAGTCAAACGAAAAGGTAGAGGATTTAAATCTACGGGAGCTGATGCAACAGATATGGATATAGATAAACAACCAACATATGAAAGATTGGAAGATAATAAAGAAAAAGAACAAACAGCTGGTAATGCAGCAAGATGTAAGTCAAGAATTTTAAAAAACAAAAACCTCAAAAAGAAATTACAAATCAAAATCATCTTCAAATCAATTTATATTTTGGAATTAATAAGTTAATGATTTTCTTTCTTTGATACTTAGCTGTTGAAGGATGGGTAATTACTGTGACTGGTGTACATGAAGAAGCTACTGAAGAAGATTTACAAGACAAGTTTAGTGATTATGGAAGTGTGATGAATCTAGCTATGCCATTAGATCGTAGAACAGGTTATGTAAAGGTGAGAAACTTGAAAAATCAACTTCGATTCTCCGAATTTGAAGTTTATGTGATCTGGTTTCTGATCTTATCTTGTTTCCTTGAATCCTGACGTGATACTTTTTTCATTCTTTTGATTAATTTGTAGGGATATGCATTAGTTGAATATGAGACTAGAAAAGAAGCAGAAACTGCTATAAGGGAAGGATCAGGTAGTAAATTATTAGATCAAAAATTAGAATGTGATTTTGCTTTTGTTAGGTAAGTGATGAATGAATTTTGAGAACGAGATCCACAAAATAAATCCCTCTGATTTAACACATTCAAACCTTTCCTGACAATTCTATTGAATTTTCGATTCTAGGGCACCTACTGGTATTTCTGGTGTAACTTCATCTACTCTTAAAAACCGAAAACAAAGAAGTCAAAGTCCACCAAAACGTCAACTTGTAAATCGAATAGATTAAAATCCTTTATCATTTCGATTCTCTATCAATAAACTCCAAAAACATTGAAATTTAAATGAAACTTCTTTCTGTTTGAACTGTAAGAATACCTTTTTAACACATAAAATAACACATCATATGGGTCAAACAACATTCCTAGTCATTTTCTTTGGCTAAATTCATCAGATCAATAAAAAAAGTCGAATTGTTCAATAGGAAGCTGAGCTGGAATTGATGTAGTTTTGATTATGAAAACAGTCTCCTTTGTGATGAAACGTCAAGGCGACTTTTACTGAGCGAAACAAAGAACAGCTTATTCAATTATTTTTGAAGATAAAATCTTAAGCAGGCATTGATGGTTTATGCTTATGAAAACATCTCAGAATTCAGTCCTTTCTTTGCCTCTGAACTTACTTACATATTTGATGACTTAGAGCATCTCCAATGCTCCCGAATCTGAATGACTAAATGTTACGTTTCTGTCAGAAACGTAACCTGTATTGGAGTTATTCAGACAAACCTCATCCAACGCCGAGGTCGTGTTCCCACATGGAACCTCCCGTGTGAACTCGTTTTTTCGGAAATGACACGTTCCCAGGCTCAGGTCAGCAAATTTGCTGACCTGGCCGAATAATCTGAATCCCAGTATCCCAACGACTATTGGGCCAAAAATAAAGAAATTCATACATCCGTGGACTACCTTTCTCTTTCTTTACGTGAGGTGAGCGCAATCGATCACATGTATTGTGTGGAACGCGATAGGTGCGATCGACCAATTACGTAGATGAAGACATATGGTGACGGGGGTTCAACCTCAAATGAACCCTATGAGGAATTGGGAAAGAAGTTCAGTTGTGCGTTGCAGGGCGCTGTCACCTGAAAAAAATTACAGCTGTCCAGCCGAGGGAAATACTGAGCTGTACATCTATTCGGATTCAGCCACATTGGAGATGCTCTTACGAGCATATTTATATTTGAATGATGATCAAGACGTTTGATCTACAAGTTCAACCACCAGTAATTGCACAGTCATAGATTTGTCAAAACACCAATGAGGCTCAATTACATTGATTGCGCATTGGAAATGCTCTTAACCTCAAGGCTCAGCCAAGTGCCACGCAGTCGCTGTTACTCGCACCGGAAACGAATTGCATTCCATATTCGAGCGGTTCGACAAGGTTCGACATCCACCAGCCTTGAATCCTGAGGCTATGCATTGGCGCATTGGCCTGGTCAATGGTCATGACTTCGGAATCTCTGAACAGTTCGACAAGGTTCGACATCCGCCTTGAGATAGTTGATGTGGGAGTGGGACTTTGATGATCAGTGACCTCGGCTCGACAAATTTGTTTTATCTGACATTTACGAGCATTTATGTCTTACGCAAGTTGACCTTGGCTCGATGGATTTCATGCTCAACGCATTTCCATTTATATACCCTTCAAATGATATAAAATCTGGATAATTCTCCAACTTCGTCAGCCTTTCTTCAAAAATCAATTCCTGGTCTTTCAATTCCTTCTTACTTTCCAATAACAATTGTTTGCGTATAGGCATCCCAGCCCTTCTCATCATGAGAGCATTCATTCTTCTTGGATTCCTGTTACAAGTCTTATTCGTATTGGGTTATCCCGAATCCATCGGGAGCTTAAAAAAACGTGACTTGAACGGTCCGCAATCGATACCTTCACAACAACTTTCGAAGCGCACTACGTCGCCGAGCAACCCGGTTGTTTGTCCTGGTCCAGACGGTCCGAGAATTGATATGAACGATTACTATAAGTGCGTCACCATTTCTTTTCGACTTAGAAGATGTTCTCTCCTCTTTACCGATCGTATTGATTGACTAAAACTTGTTGTTGTTTACTTGATTAGAATGATCACCGCGTTGGTCCAACGCAAGGTCAAATGTGTTTACTACGCAAACATGGGTGTGAGTATGTTGTCTAATCAGCCGACTGGGAAGCTAGAACGTCCATGATTGACTGACCGATCAACCTTTTTGAAACAGATGGCGGTCTTTGACCGCGATGACAACCCGGCCACTTTTACGGAGTGAGTGCCTATGTGACTCGAGCAACGTTGATGTCCCAAAAGTTCAATATGAATCCATTCATAATCATTCTGTCAGCTCCGATCCCTCAATTGTTAGAGAATGGTATGGTGCTCAGCTCAGTGAGCAATGTGAGACTCAGAGGCCGGTTAGGGTTGTAAGTCTTACTCGTCTCTTTTACACGTCAAACCCAGAAGTTTAACTTTCTTCCAAACGTGATACCAATTGATAGCGAAGCAAGCTTCCACCAATTCGCCCGGATGACTCACTGAACATCGGGACTGTGTTTTACAAAATTTATGCCCCTAGTGAGCAAGTCATGAACTGTAACGAAGAGGATGACGCTGCAATACGTAGTTACTTGCTTTCGCAATTCATGACATAAATGATTATGATCACGGTTGCTAGTAGCAAATATATTTCTGTATCTGCAAGTTGTTAGCTTACCAATCACAAATGTGACTGTTATACATAGTATTTGCATTGGCCCCGTGTTGGAGCGTTTCTGCATGTTATTCTTCATCTTGCTTTTTTATAAGTCGTTATTCTGTCTTGGCTTCTTCAATCTAATGAGCTTGTTGAGTTCTAGGTGCAACTGGCTGAAGCCAACCTAGAGAGTCATAGTGTAGTTCCTTACAAAAACTATCACTATGTATCATCAGTGCATTACAGTAATATTCATTTATCAGCATTGTGATGGTTGCACAAGAGCCCATGCCAATATAAAAAATGCTTCTCATTGGAGGAGACCCATTAGGAGCATGAAAAGTGCTGATGATCCTGTTATGCTTCAATGTGATGTTTTGTGCTAAAAACATAGTTTTGGTTCAATGAATTGCAAAAATGATTTGTCAAAGACAGCTGTTTCAGCTCTTGAGTCATATGCAAAGGCAGGAAGCCCAGAGGGAAGGTTGAGAGACAGGATGTGTGCAAGAAGCTGATCAAAAGATGAAGTTGGCATATCTTAAATGAGAAAAGATATTTGTAGATACAGTCAAAGATCCCTAAAGTTGTACCTTTCTGTGAAGCTGCTGGGCTATGGGTTTACGGGGTTTAGGTATGATTATGGATCTGCTAAAAAACCCTGTCAATAGTATGGCTTTTTTGAGTAAAAAAAGTTCCTTGCCAAAGTCCCAAGGCGTGAGCAAGGGACTTACTTCATGTACAAAAACTAGGTCTTTGGCGCCCAGCCGCCACATATGTCAGCCTGAATCTCCAAATAGTTGATAACTTGGAAGATCAGGTTGAAATTTTAATGCTCACAAAAGTTAAATCCGCAAGATATAGATGATATTCTTCTACAAATCTTGAAGGTAGCTTTAAATTCTTGGTGAGCAAAGTTAAGAAAACAGAAGTAGAGATTGTTAGTACTACTGTCTAAGGTGCAGAATGGTTACTGCTGCCAGTTAGATGTTCTGTGCACTCACAGAACAAATCTTCTAAGATTGACTAAAAAGTTAGGTGTATCTTAGGCTTGCTTCAGCAGAGGTTCGATATTTAATTTTATCGAAAAAGGATGGTTAAGTCAAATGGTTGAGTACGTTAGTCAATTGGAACTACCCAAATGATCTATAACGTAACTCGTAAGGAAAAAACGGGGATCTTATCTAAAGTGTCTTGAATCGAACTGGAGAGATAGTTTTATAAGAAGTCTAGTTGAATAAGATGTTCTAAATAAGTAACTATTTCTGGCTTTGATCAAGACTAAGTAGATGAGAAAGGTGTTTGGTTTTAAACGTTCCTGCTAGAGTAAAGTTTAAAAGAAAAGAAATGTTATGTTGGTATGATAATTGTAAAAAAGGATGGTTCCTTTCTGTTATGCGTAAGCTCGTTTTCTTTATAGGTTTTGATTTCCTCTGTTTTTAGTAACTAACCGTAAAAACGTTGATTTTAATTGTACCCTGGCTAGCCATCGTATCGTACATGGTTGATACTCTTTTGGTCTGGTCAGGGTTTCTTTCTTCAGGGTCTAGTATCCCGGTG